AACAAAGATGTTAGATCTTAGCAAAGGGTCTTATGGCTGATCTTTGATTTGTTTAGATCTTCTCACTGAGGCCATGTTTTACTGGCAGTGCCCTGGATTTGATTTTTGCCCTGAGACCATTTCTTACTTGGAGAACCTTTTGCCAGACAGAGAGGCAAGGAATAAAAAAATATTTTATTGTTCAATCTAACAAGTCCTGTTGGAAATATTTTATCTAAATTCTGCTTGAAAACGGAACAGTTTATTTTTTAGTTCATCTCTCTCCTGAAATGCCTTATCATAGGCAGCTAAAATAAGCCAATTGACACTTTCACCATTCTGCCTGGAAATTTCTTTAGCTAAATTTGCAACTTTGTTAGATATCATTTCTAGCTTCCAAGTTGCCACAGCCGATAGCCAATACATAACACAGGTTCCCCTTTCTCTAGCTTCTAAAAGCAATTTCCTCTCTGCTCTTCCTGCCTTCACTAAAAACCTCCTTGCCATCCTTCCCACCTCTGCTTGCCACCCAGTCCCTAAGCCAATGCTACATATTTTAGGTCTTTGTTATGGAGCACCCTACTTCTGATATTAGTTTCTGTTTCAGTTATCCATTAATATAACAAATCAGCCCGAATATAGAGGCTTAAATTTAAAAACTCAATATTTATCATGATTCTGTGGTTTGATTAGGCTTATTTGGACAGCTCTGCTCCATGTAGTCTAGCTCAGGACACTCATGTAACTGCATTCAGCCAGGAGCTCATATGGGGCTAGAACATCTAAGATGGTCTTTGATCCTCCCAAGTCTCTCTCCACATGGCTTCCCATCATTCAGTAGTCTAGCCCTAGTTTATCTGAAGCATGGATGCTGGCTTCCAAGGGGACAAAGCCTCAGAGTGTAAGTACTTATCGAGCTTCTACTTGCGCTGTGCTTGCCTATGTCTCATTGGCCAAATCAAGTCACATGGCCAAGCCCAGACTTAATATGTGAAGAAACTGCACAAAACCATGAATTGGGAACTGTTGTTAATTGGGGGGCAACAGTGTAATAGCTTACCACAGCCCTTGCGGGTCATGGATCTGCCTGCCATAACTGGGGTGACTTAAGAGGTCCTAACAGTATGGTGCTTAGTGACCTAGCAAGAAAAGAACAGTTGGGCCAATGAGACTCTTGTAGGATTTTAGAATTGGGACACTGGAATATCAGCTCACTTAGCTAGGAGGAGGTAAGTAAAAGGTTCTGTAGACTCAGAAGCTGGGGCCACCATTTTGGGACCTGAGGAAGCTGAAGTGGAGGCAGAAGAAGCAGATCCATGGAGAGAAAAGAAGGGAGTAGACTTACAGAGAGAGAGATGGAGGAAAGGGAGACATTGGCTCTGAGAGCGGTCAAGAGCAGCCGTATTCCTGACTTTGCAATTCACATGGAGCCTAGTTGAACTTTATTTTCTGCCTTTTTATGTCCATGAGATTGTTAGTGGCATTCCCACAAGAAAACACTCCTTACTTGATAAAGAAAAATAAGGGTAGACTGGCCAGGACAAAATGGCAGGGTAGGTAAACACTGTGCACATCTCCTCCCATGATCACATTAAAAATTACAACTAAAATACAGAATAATCAACTGGAGAACCATCTGAAGACCAGCTGAACAGAGGTCCTATAATTAAGGATATAAAGAAGAAGCCACAGTGAGACTGATTTTCACATCATTCATAAATAAATAAATAATAAAACTATTTACTTAATAAAAAGCATTCCCTGGCAGGGGAAGTGAGTGACAAAATTAAGGGTAGCTAAGGTCAAATCATAACATTTGACTCCTTCCTAAAAGAGTTTGGACTTTATTCACCAAAGTTTTTGGAGACAATGAATTTTATTATCTAGCCAACTTTTTGGAAAATGACTCTGGTGTCAGTGTAAAATAAGAATTAAAGAGATGAAAGCCCATTCATATTCAACAAATGTTTATTGAGTGCCTACTATGTACTTAGTACTAGGGATACGATGGTAAACTAGGCACAATCTCTACCTTCATGGATTTTACAGTCTGGCTGGGGAGGGGGAGGATAGAAAGGAAGGAGAGGCACATAGTAAATGAATAACCAAGATGATTACAGAAAGTGATAGTGGCTATAAATATAGTTAAGATGGATGATGTATTAGAGAGATGGAGGTAGAGTTGAAGGCTGCTTTAGATAGGTTAGTCAGGGAAGTCTCTCTGAGGAGGAGACATTTGAGCTGAATGCCAAAAAAGGAGCCAGTCATTCAAAGTTCTTGGAAAAACATTCTAGGCAAAGGAAATAGCAAGTGCGAAGGCCGTGATGAGGGTCCATGTTTGGTGAGTTCAAGGAACATAAAAAAAGCCAGGATAGGTTGAATACAGTCACTAAATGGCACAATGACTAATCATACACGTTTTCTATGTTAAGGGGTTTAGATTTTATTCAAATGGCAATGGGAAGCCTTTGAAGGATTTTAAGCTGAGGAGGTTAAGCTGATCAGATTTATGTAATAAAAGACCATTTTGGCTGATGTGTGGAGAATGGTTTGGAGGGCAAGAATGAACCACTGGGAAGCTATTGCCATCATTCAAGAAAAAGATGACTGCAGGTTGAACTAATGTATAATAGAGGAAATGGAAGAAGAAGTGAAATTATTTACGAATTGGAGGTAGAATTGACAGATCTTGCAGATAATTTCAAAGTAGGGGATGAGGGCAATCAAGGTTTTGGCGTAAGTAATGCATTTATAGAGAAGGGGAAGTTTGGATAGGGAATAGGTTTGGGTTGGGGGACAAATCTAGAGTTCTTCTTTGAGAAAAGTTTGAGATATCACTGGAAAGCCAAGTGGAATTTCAGATCAGCAGCTAGATACACAAGCCTGAGGCTCAGGGTGAGGTCAGGGCCAGGGAAATATATTTGGGAGTCATCAGCATATAGATGGAATTGAAAGCCATGGGAATTGATGAGATCGTTCTGAGAAAGGGTAAAGATGGAAAGGAGAAAGGAGAGAGGAGCTCAGGGCCACCAACACTTAGAGGCAAAAGAAGAGGAGCTGCCAGCAAAAGAGACCAACATGGAGTGGTCAGAGGCGTGAAAGCCAGGAGAAAAAAATATTTCAAGAAAGAGGAAATGGTTAAGTGTGTCAAACACTGCTTAAAGGTCAAGTAAGAAGAATATAAAGAGATGAAACCAACTTGGCAATGTGGAAGGTGTTGGTGATCCTGACAAGAGTAATTTCAGTGGAGCGAAAGGAATAGAAATGGATTTAAAGTGTTTCAATAGGCAGGTGAGGGATGAACAGGGGGAAGTTGGGCAATAGTAATAGGGATAGAAAGAAATGCATAGACATTAAAACCATTGTGATGAGGTACTAAATGTGGGAAGTGAGGGGGGGATGACCGTAGGGTTTCTAGAGATGATTAGGAGGGTAGTGATACCACCAGTTCTAAGAACAGAGAGAGAGGTTCTAAGAACAGAACAGAGAGAAAGAAAATCATGATTTCCATTTGGGACACTTTAATTTTAATGCTCTGGCAGGACATCCATGTGGCCTAAAGCTTGGTCATTCTCATATCTATATGTCCAATTCAGAGGTGCAAAATGGTCTGGACTGGACATTACAAATTTAGGAATCACCAGCATAAAAATTATGTTAGCTGACCATGAGTGTGGGTAAGAGCTCCCCTTGGTGTAAAAGGGAGTGAGGGTCGAAGACAAACCTTGGACAACTTTTGTGTTAAAGCGATGGTCAGAGAAAGAAAATCAAGGAAGAATCATAAGAGTTGTATAATGGAAGCCAAGAGAAAAGATTTTCAAGAAGGAAAGGGTAGTCAGCAATGCCAACAATGTGGTCAGGAATGAACAAAAAGTACTAGAGCGTGCTGAGAATAGAGCGGTAGCTGATAGAATTGACTCTCAGGAGGCCACAATGACTGGGGTTTCTTGCGTTCACAGGCCTCTCCAACAACCGGACACATTTTGATTTCCACGTCTCCTCCAATAGAACTGTTGGTGACATGGAGGTCCAGCAGGCCAGCCTTATGTTCTTTGTGCAGCTCCCTCCCAATACCACCTGGACTTTGAAGGTGAGGGTCCTTGTACTAGGCCCACGTGACGCCAGCCTCACCTTGGCCACTCAGCACCTGCTGGAAGTAGATGCCAGTGGCTGGCAGCAGCTTCTCCTGGGGCCTGAAGCTCAGGCTGCCTGCAACCAGGGACACCTGACCCTGGAGCTGGTACCTGAAGGCCAGGTAGCCCAGAGCTCAGTCATCTTGGGTGGGGCTGCTCATAGGCCTTTTGTAGCAGCCCGGGTGAAAGTTGGGGGCAAGCACCGGGTTCGCCGGCATGGCATCGACTGCCAGGGTGGGTCCAGGATGTGCTGTCGACAAGAGTTCTTTGTGGACTTCCGTGAGATTGGCTGGCATGACTGGATAATCCAGCCTGAAGGCTATGCAATGAACTTCTGCACAGGGCAGTGCCCACTGCATGTGGCAGGCATGCCTGGCATTGCTGCCTCCTTTCACACCGCAGTGCTCAATCTTCTCAAGGCCAACACAGCTACAGGCACTGCTGGAGGGGGCTCATGCTGCGTGCCCACAGCCCGGCGCTCCCTGTCTCTGCTGTACTACGACAGGGACAGCAACATTGTTAAGACTGACATACCTGACATGGTGGTAGAGGCCTGCGGGTGCAGCTAGCCCATGTATGTTACGAGCAGCTCGAGGTGGGAGAGGCAAACATGCCCCCACAGAGGTGCCCTTCTTGAGAGGAGGAACTGACTCCATTACTGCCTCTGTCCCGAAGGTGGAAATTCTCTTTCTGAACAACCCATGGAAATTATCCCAACTTTGACTTGAGGAGATCTTCATCTAAGGAGAGTCACTGTACCATCTTCGCAACCACCAGCCTCTCCCCTAGAGCATAGTCCATCCAGCAAGCCCCACACGCTCAACTGCCATCCCAGAGATTCTGATCCACCTCCAACCATAAGCAGTGCTATCTGGTTCCCAGGCAGACACCCATAACCCACCCTTAATCCACCCCATAATCCACTATGCCTCCCTGCCTTTTCTACTCAATGGCTCCCACTCTGGATAAGTTGACTCAGCCTCTTCCCTTGATTTTCTGGATCTCCAGAAAGCCTCCTTCTTGGTTCCAGTAAAGATTTTTTACTTACCCAAGTGGGCTTCTAAGGCTCTCTTGGCACACCCACATCTATTCTTTGTCCTTCTCTGCCTTGCTTTATACCCTTGGGGGCTGACTCACCTGAGCTCCTTTGGCCCCTGCTTCCTGCCAAGTTTGACTAAGGTTAGACATCGACAGGAAGTCAGGGTATTTATTATTCCTGCTCTTTACGCCTAGGTGCCATGGTTCTGTGTGACTGTGGCTGTGGCCATGTCCTACAGTGCCTGCCTAGCTCCCACATTCCATGGCTCCAGCTCTGCCTAGGTTCCGATATAACTACTTCCAAGATAGGGGTTTGTACTCTTATGGCTCTCTACTCTTGCTAGTGTCTGGATGCTTCAACATCCCTGTTCCCTTAACCTTGCCCATACCTATGCAAAGAAGTCCTTCATTAAGTCTTCTGAGTGATGCAAACACAGACGGCTGAGTGGGTCTTTTGTCTCCTGCCAGGACCCTGACTGACACCCCAGATGAAACAGAGCCTGCCTGTCCTGACCGCTTCTGCTCTCTGCTCACACAGACTCCTTGGGCCTGAGCTATTGTGTCCATCCCACACTTCACACTTCTTTGTTAGGTCCCCTCCACCCTCCCAGAACCATCTTTGCTGGTCACAAGACTAATAAAGACCGGGGTTCTACCTGTTCCTCTCCTCCTCTTGTACCTGCTCCAAGAGATAAGACAGATCACTACTCAGTCAGCAAGCAGGCCAACAACCTGTGGGCACACACGTGGTAGGAGGCAGAGGGATGGCTCAGAGCTGTCTGGCTTCCTTTCACTGATCCCCAGGGCTCCATTCAGGAGTCCTGTTTGGAAGCTGGAACTGGCCAAAAGCCACTTCAATGGGACAGAGAGAAGAAAAAGAAGACCTGGGGTGAGAAGAGGGAGGCATTTGCTCTGAGACTGGGTCTTCTCTAGACCTTTACCCTCTTCCCCCACCATCTCCTCCCTTTTGTTGGACAGCCCTGAACCATGGGGTCGATATTGTCTGCAGCCCAAGGCCGAGTTTTCGCAAAACCCATGTGTCCTTTGGGTTACGTGATGTCTGTGTTTGCTCAATTTATAACCCCCTGCTACCAGGGTCTGAGGTCCCTGGAATAGGAACCCTAGAGGAGAAAGTCTGAAACGGACCTCTTCAGGGACTGCAAATCTGAGTTGCTTCCTGAGCAAACTTATGGAAGTTATCTCCCTTTTGACCTAAGGAGAGCTTCACCTCAGGAGAGAATCTAAGGCAGTCTTCTAGTGCCTCTCCCTCCCCACACTCCACCCCCTATCAGATCTTACCTCCCTCCCTCCCACTACAGCTTTAGTCCCCAGGAAAGACTAAGGTGAGGTGAAGTGAGGCACTCACCTGAGGGGCAAAATTTTAAGGGGAAGCCAAAAAACTCGTCAATCAAGATAAATAATATCTTAATTCTATATTTTTAAAACATCAAAATTAATGCCAAAAAATCCATGATGAACAAAATGGCAAATTTAAAAATAAACACAGGATCAGTATTATTCCTTTTTTTTTTTTTTTTGCTCCGCCTTCTGTAACAAGGGGAAAGGGTGGGTCTGTCTGCTTCCAAACCTTTTCTTTCAGAGCCCCCTGGCCCCTAACTCTGGACTCTGTCAGGCTTTTCTCATTTGGGCAAGATAATCACTCAGGCTTCTTCTACTTCCTTACCCACCCCCAAGCCTGTCACTTACCCCCAGCCCCCAACCAGGTTGGTGGTAGGGCAGGCCTGTAAGGCAGATGGCTAGGGTATTTATAACCCAGGAGCACTTCTTGGGAAAAGTGACTAAGATGCTAAGAGCATATTTATAGCTGGGTTCTGACGTAAGTGTCAGTGGGGAGGTAGGGCCAGGCCAAGCACAGCAGCAAGCATGGTAGGAGGTGCTGGAAATTGGGGGCACCTGACAGAGAGGGTGGGGGAGAGGTGGGGTCAGCGACTGCTGCAGCCACTTCTTGCTGTTTCCCTTGACTCTGTCTCCTGGCACTGACAGGTAAGCCCTCTGAAACACCATCATGGGCAGAAACCTCGACTTTGCAGTTCTACAGTCCAGACCTGAAGGGATAGAGAGCTGTCACTCATCAGCCTGACCAACAAAGAGGGAGCTGGGAGCTGGGAGAGTACCAGACAGAGGGGCTTGAATATGTAGAACCTGGAGAGAAATGCAGGGTGCACAGGAGGGTCTAAAAGGCTCATTGTTCCTTCTCTCCACTCCCCACCACACAGTGCCCTGAGTTTCTGGGAAGGGCGTCGCACCCATCACCAAGCTCTATTGCCACCTGTCAGTGTGATGAGGTCCAAAACCAAAGGTAGCAGTGATGTGGGTCCTGACAACAACCTCTGCTCTCTGGCAGTGGCTAGGTGAGAGAGCAGAGGGACCAGCGTCTCTGTCACCCGTTGGAGAGGCAGGGTCTCCAGAGTGAGAGGCTGGGAAGTGTTGCATCTCTCCACTCCCCAGAGTAGCCCTTTTCCTCGGAAGCTGGTCAGCTCTCAAACAGCTGCTGTCCAGTGGCACGACACTGCCACATGGTGGACACTGGTGGTACTGCGGCCCAGCCCCCAAAGCACCACCTCTCTCTCTCTGGTGCCAGACCTAGTAGTCAGTCTCTCTTGACAGCCCTCACTGGCTAAATAGTGGGGAGATGAATCAAATGGAGTGGGGGCACATTTACAAATCACAGTCACATCCTCCCAGCTTCTTGAAAAAACTGGGGCATAAGGAGAAAGGCTAGCATGAAACCTTCCCTCATGAGTTCAAGGTGGAGGGGCCTTGGCCCACCCATATAAAGTCAGTGAGGAAGTATGGTAAGGAGGGCTGGGATTGGAACTAAGGTTTTTGTACTCACTTTGCTTTGCTCTTAAAAGTCCTTAAACCACCCATTTCCCACCCCCATTAACAGAGGACTGGCACCACTTCTAGGATACCCCACATTTAGGCAACTCTCAGTCCCCTGAACAAGAACCAGCAGCTGGGTACAGGCTCTACCAAGTCCCATGCCCTCTGCCAGCCTTGATGGACTCTGCCCTGCTGTACGATTGCATCAGCCCCACCCCCACCTTTCTGGGTTTCCCCAGACATCACAGTAACATGCCAACCCCCATGCCCCTGCCCTCTTCCACGTTGTGCTCCAGTCCAACTGGACTCTGGGCAGCCAGCACAGGCAGGGTCAGGGGTGACTTCTGTGTCCCGTGGCATTGCCACCTTGGCCTGGGCAAGAGGACTCCGTTCCTCCTGTCCCCACCTCCCAACCTCTCACCCCTGTCCCAGCCTCATTGCTAGAAATAAAGAGACCAGAGTTGTTCTTCTTGCCCAGAGGCCCTAGAGAAATAACCACCGGAACTTATAGCTGTCTCATGGAGACTGCTGCAGCAGTGGCTGGGGAGCAAGTTAGAAAGGCTGGAGGGATGGGGGGAAATTGCCCTTCCTCACCTTACTATATGGAGTTCCCGCCCCCTAGTCCCAGACCTTGGGGACTGAGCATGTGAAATCATCCTCTTTCTTGCATCATGCGTGTCCACATTGCCCCCCCCCCGCAACCCCCATACCCCTACCTTAAGCTCAGTGACCAGGGCCAGATGGTGAAACCAGAGCTCCAGGGGGGAACCTCCACCCACTGCAGGGGCTTGATGGGCAGCACAGCTGGCCAATCTGGGGCTTAGAGGGTAGGTCTGCTGGCTGACCACGAGGTGAGGGAGCCCCAGGCTGCCGGCTCTAAAGAGGCCCAGACATGAACTGTGAGGGTCAAACTGGCAGATTGTGCTAAACACAGCTACCCATCGGACCATCCACCTTCTGCCTTCCTGTGTCCCTGGCAATAGAAGACAGGTAGCTCTACCCTTGGCTAAGGGTAGGTGTGGCACTGGTGTCTGCTGCTGCTGTGCCCTCATTGGCCTCCACAAAATCACTCAATAGAAGGAGCAACTGCCATCTGAGGCTCCCGCCCAGACCCAGGGCCATTCACCAGAAGCATGGAGCTCCCTGATGTCCAGTTCCGGCTGGTGCTGCTGTGGGCACTGGTATGGGCGCAGGGGGCAAGGTCTGTGTGTCCCTCCTGTGGGGGCCCCACATTGGCACCTCAAGCAGAACGAGCTCTGGTCCTGGAGCTAGCCAAGCAGCAAATCCTGGAGAGGCTACACCTGACCAGCCGTCCCAGGATAACTAATCCTCCACCCCAGGCAGCACTGACCAGAGCTCTCCGGAGACTACAGCAGGGAAGTGTGGCTCCAGCTAATGGGGAAGAGGTCATCAGCTTTGCTACCACCACAGGTGGGTGAGGGAGAGATAGACAGAGAGCAGACAGGGAAAGGGAGGCAGAAGGAACTGGGTGTGGGAGGAGGAGGAGGTGTTGGGGCAGGGACTGGTTGTGGAGGACGAAAGGCAGTCCCTGCTTCCTCTAAAGATGGGTGCTAGGGAGAAGAGTGGGCAGGGCCTGCAGGAGTCTCAGAGGAGAGCTCTATCTCTGCTATATCCTCAGTCCTTTCTCCATCTTTCTGGCAGACTCCTCCACTTCAACCTGCAGCTCCATGCTCATCTTCCAGCTGTCCACTGCCCAGTCCCACCACCTGCACCATGCTCGCCTATGGCTGCATGTGCTCCCCACCCTTCCTGGTACTCTGTACTTGAGGATCTTCCGATGGGGCCCACGAAGGAGGCACCGAGTGTCCCGCGCCCTCTTGGCTGAGCACCAAATGACAACCCCTGGCTGGCATGCCCTGACTCTGCCCTCTAGTGGCTTGAGGGGTGAGGAGTCTCGTGTCCTGAAACTCCAACTGCACTGCAGACTCCTAGAAGGCAACGGTACGACTATCCCACAACCTCGGAGGCTCCTGGACACAGCAGGAGACCAGCGGCCCTTCCTGGAGCTTAAGATCCAGCCCAATGAGCCTGGAACAGGCCGAGCCAGGAGGAGGACCCTGACCTGTGAGCCTGAGACCCCCTTATGTTGTAGGCGAGACTATTATGTAGACTTCCAGGAACTGGGATGGCAGGACTGGATCTTGCAGCCTGAAGGGTACCAGCTGAATTACTGCAGTGGGCAGTGCCCTCCCCACCTGGCTGGTAGCCCGGGCATTGCTGCCTCCTTCCATTCTGCTGTCTTCAGCCTCCTCAAAGCCAACAACCCTTGGCCCTTGGGTACCTCCTGCTGTGTCCCTACTGCCCGAAGTCCTCTCTCTCTCCTCTACCTGGACCGAAATGGCAATGTGGTCAAGACAGATGTACCAGATATGGTGGTGGAGGCCTGTGGCTGCAGCTAGCAAGAGGACCTGGGGGTTTGCAGTAAAGAGATCAAGTTGGGGGTTCCCAGGCAAAGGGCATCTGTGGCTGGAGGCATCAGATTCCTGATCTGCAACCCCCAACCCAATGGGCCACTTGGCAGTATGACTGGGTTGACCCCTATGGGACCCAAATGGGCACTTTCTTTTGTCCATACTGTGGTCTATTCCAGGCTGGTTGATGTGTGGGGAGATGGGAAAAGTGTCCTCTGAAGGAATCTACCCAGAAAGCATGATTTCCTACTCTAAACCCTATGAGAAAATGGCAGAAGGGAGGGAGGGAGGGAAGGAGACAGCAGAGAAAAATGACTTAGTCTCTCCCAAGAAGAGAAAGTCCTCAAGTGAGGGAAGGAAGAAGCAGACAGAGGGCCCAGCAGGTTAGGGACAGGGGAGACAGGCTGACCAAGGGTAGAACTGTTGAAGTGCTTTAAGGGAAGGTCAAGAGGGAGATGGACAAGGGCCTGAGGGAAGGTGTTTAGGGAAGCTCCAGAAATGGGTGTCAGGAGAGAGGGGTGCTGAGCCTGAGAAGTTTCTTAGCTTTCCCAGTGGACGGTAGGACCCACTGGGGAGACAAACTTTTATACTTTCCTAATAAAAATGGGAAAAACATCAGTAAGTGTGAGTCATAAAGACAGGCTGGGATGATGGTCCGGAGCAATGGTTCTCAAGGTGTGATCTTGGGACCCCTGGGAGGTCCCAAGACACTTTCAGGGGTGTCCACAAGGTCAAAACTATTTTCATAATAATACTAAGATGTTATTTGCCTTTTTTTATTTTCCTTATCTCAAAAGTGTACAGTGGAGTTCCAGGGGCTGTGTGGCATGTGATTATATCATCTTTCTGACATCATTTTTAATGGGATGTGTGCTTGTGTATTCTTGGGTCACAAACTTTTTTTCAGTTTTAACTTCTAATATGGTGAATGAATATAAACCATATAAACAAAAGCTCAATAATTTTTAAGAATACAAAGGGGTCCTGAAACCAAAATGTTTGAGAACCGCTGATCTAGAGACCTGGGTGGGGAGGAGAAAGCAACATGCTCTAAAAGAACTCCCCTGGAAGAGAGGACACAAGGCTGAGACAGGAACATGTGTAGGGTCCCTTTTTCTCCAGTGACCATTGGTCTTGCCTGGCCCATTGGGTATAACTGGCATCTGGGTCAAAGTCATGTGGGGAGGAGGCTCAAATAGGGCTCCTCGTCTGTCCCTCACAGCTACTATCTATATTTGTCTGGCCCCAGACCTCTTCCTAGTTTCACCTTTTCCCCTTGACTCTCAGATTGAACAGTTAACCCACTGACCTTCTGGGCCCAAGGAGGTGGTTCTTGGAAGCGGAACGAGGATGTGGGAGGTCTGAGAGGTGACAGAAAAGGAAGGGACTCCTTTTGCCCGCCATGCTTTCTCCACTTTCTCATAAAGAAAGGTCAGGGAGACTAAAATAGCTGCCCCTTCCCCTGCATCCGGTCACCATGGCAACACAAATCCAAAGGGACAGGGCATTCTACTATCAGACACTAGTGCTCTGCACTATTAGCCTCTGGCACTGTGCCCCTTTGTTTCTTTGGGCTCATACAACCTCCCTCCCTGGGGTCCTAACTGGGCTTTGGTGGGGGGACCTGTAAAGCCAACACCTTTAGCTCCCCGTCTCCTCTACCTCCAGACTTCGAGAGGGTGTCATGTGCCAAAACGGCCAGCAGAGGGAGCCGACGACCTAGAAGAGTAGAAAGAGTGGGCAGCGCAGAGGTGCGGAGGTGGCCGCAGTCTCCAGAAGTTCGAGACGAAGGAGAATGGGGGTTACTCCGAAACAGTGCTTGGGTGTCTGGGTTCCTTAGTAACCTTGTGAACACACACTCTGCACCCAGAGCCTCAGCCGCTAGTCCTCTCTTTTATGTTCCGTAGACACCTTTCGCCCAGGGCCCCCCAACCCAACTCTGTCCCAATCCTGTTTTCCACCAAACCCCAACGCCTTCATGTATTTATCATCCAAAGAGTGAGGCCGGCTGATAAACTACAAGGCTGCGGAATGCTCAGCACTAACCAAAGTCGACGACCTTACCTCCAACATTATCTTTCTGGGGTAAACTTTTTCGTCGCCCCCCGCCCCGCCCCAAATATATTTCTCAATCTGTTTTTTCTGGCTCTGGTTCAGGGCCTCTTCGTGGGCAGCCGATCCAAAAATCCATGCCGGGATTTACTGCCCACCACTAGCAGCGTGTTCTGCGGGAGGGGGGGGCGGTTAGGCAGCCTAGGGTCCCTCAAGGGAGGGGGAGGATCCTGGGGGTCCTGGGGGTGCAATAAGCCCGACACCCCCTCTCTCACTTCCAGCTACCCCGCCTCATCCTCCAGAACAGCAAGAGGGAGGGAAATAGGAGGGAGGTGAGGGGCGAGCGGGAAGAGCGGCGGCGCGCCAGCGGCTTGAGCGAGAAAAAGTTTTTGCAGAAGGGAAAAAAAAGTTTGCGCTTCTCGCGGGTGGTCCCGGCTTGCGGCCCGTAGGGCTGGGCCGGCGGGAGGGCTGGAGGCCAGGTTAGGGGGGGTGGGGGTGGCACTGAGGCTGCGCTACCGTGGCCCTGTCCGCCCCCCCTCCCCACCGCACACCCCCCAGCCCAGACTCCAGCCCTGGACCGCGCATCCCGAGCCCTGCGCCCAGACGGAGGTGAGAGGGGGGCAGGCGGGGGACCACCTGGGAGCTGTGGGGGAGGGGGCCTGAAGGGATGCTCTGCTTGCGAGGGACTCTGCCCAGTCAAGAGGGAGAACTGGGGCACAGAGGCAAAATGGGGGTGGGAGAGCCTGGGGTGAGATATTAGAAAGTTTGGAGAATGTTTTCATTTATATCTCCCTTTCTCTGTATCTGTTTTTCTTCTGACAGTCTGTGTGTCTCTGTCTCAGGCCACCGTGGATCTCTTTGTCTGTCTCCGCCTCTCCCATACATTAGAAACATCTCACTTTCATGAGGTTGGGATGAAGAGGCTGGAGGGACGGCTAGCAGGAGGTCTGCGTGGTAGAGAGGGAACTCCAGGTGTGTCTCTGAGCGCCGGCAGGAAGATGTCAGTGTTTCTGAAAGGAGGGGACAGCTAAGGAGAGAGCCCTAGGTGGGGTGGGGATGGGTGTGTATGAGGCGACAGAATCACTGGGGGGCGGCTGGGCTTGAACCCCAGACCTGTCTTGTGACAGATGTGCTTGCTGGTGCATGTGTTTTGGGGAAAAGGAGTGTCTTCTGGACAAGGAAGGGGACTGGAGTGTCTAGTTTAGGCCTTAGCGAGGCTCCTCTAGGAATTTGGACTCCTGAGTTCCTAGTGCTGTGGGCAGGGTGCTAACGAGGAGCCGAGAAGGCCTTGTCTTGACCCTCTGACCTCAGGACCACCAGGGCAGCTGGGGCCAGCGACAGGGAGACCCCTACTGGGACTGGGCGGGACCACTGGCCACTGCCTGCCTATGCATCCCTATTGGCCCCCCTCCCAAACAGGAGCTGGGGGCCGAGGCCCCTCCTCTGACTCAGACCACCCTGCCTGCCCTTGCTCCCCGCTCTGAAGCCTTTCAGGCCCCGTGACCCCGAAACAATCCGCCCTGGGCAGCTAGCTTTGGGGACAGGATTAGGGAAAGGGGATCCCATAGAGACTCGGGACTGAAGGTTTCAGGGGGCTAGAGAACTGGGGTCTTCACAGGATAGGTCTTCACGGTCCAGTAGAGGGAGAAGGCGGGGCGATTTCCCTGGGGAGTTGTGAGGGCCGGAGTTAAGGTGGTTTTCCCTAGCGGGGCGGGATCCAGACCCCCCCATTACCTCCTCGGCATCCCCTGCTAGGCGGCACAGACCCCGCCCTTGACGTCACTAAGGGGGTTCCCGGGGGTCTGCAGGGGTTAACCCTTGGGAAGCCAACTAGGATACCCAGGAGCCTAAGGTGCCCAGACCGCTTCCCTCCCAACACACACACACACCTTATTTACCCAGTCACTTTCCCTACAGTGTCTGGATTCTTCTTTCTTTTCCACTCCGCCACTGGGACCCCCACTCTCCAACTGTGCCCCCCACCCCCCCGCCCGGCGCGCGCACCACTGCCAGCTTTCTGGATGCACTGAGGGGAGGAGGGAAAAATTTGTCCCGCCTCTCAACACCACCACCCCCCACCCCCAGCTTCACTGCGGCTCGCCCGACTAGGCTCCCGGGGCGGGCGGGGGAATCGGAGCCGTCTGCAGCCAGAGCCTGCGGCGGCTACTTGGGTGGGCCGAGGAGGCACGGGGGCGGGGAAGGCGGGACCAGAAGGGGGCGGGGCCGGCTTCTGGGAGTTGGGGAGCGGGGGTGCTAGGGGGACTCTGGAAAATTGGGAGACACAGAAGATGATTCAGGGTTCCAGGAGAGGAACTCTAGAGCTCCCTGCCCCATCCTGCACTCTCTCATCCACACCCCAGAAAAACTTAACTGAAGCTGGAAAAGTTGGCTAGTGTGAAGTTGTGGGTGGGCCGTGGCACGCGTGGGCGAGTAGGGATGTCTCCCCATTTCCATCGCGGCTCCCCTGCGGCTGGGCAGTGGAGCAGAAAGATGATAGAATAGGCACGTTTCGGGGGTCGCTTGCGAGCCCCCGCCTCCTTCCCTGGGTGAGTCATAGAGGAAGGAGGCGGGAGAAGTGTCCTCCGATCCAGCTGCCAGCCAGCTGTGCCCCCCCCCCATAGTGCCAAGGTCGAGTTGGGAGGTCTTGGATGCGGGATCCGGATCTCCGCTAGGAAAGGAGGAGTTAGGAGCGGTACAGCCCAGGCTGCGACACTCAGCCTGGTTCATGGGGTCCGGGTTCCGCTCCCCATCTTACCCCGCCCTCACCCTAAATCCCAGCATCCCGGGATCACCCACCACGCCGGCCGGCCTGCTCCCGGTGGTTCTCCACCCTACCCCACCCCACCCCACCCTCACTCCCGGGAGACCGGAAAACCCGGGGTGGAGCAAAAACAGAGTTTGAGGAGAAAAGCGGACAAGCGGCACCCCTCTGCTCCCTAACTGACTGCTCCTCTCACATGGATGATGATTTTGTTTTTTTTATTCTCCCAAAGCCTTCCCTCAAAGTCCCTTTACTGTTCCCCAAAAACAGACCAAAAGAGTTAAGTGGGCGCCCAGATTCAAACCCAGAATAACATCAGCTTTCATCCTTTGTACACAGCTGACCCGGGAGGCTCCCCTCGGAAACCTTATCCGCTTCTACACTGTTTTCTGACTTAGAGAAAAGGGCAGATCCTTCGTGCTCCCTCCTGGCCCCACCAGCCTCTGTCTGGGCTGCGGCAAGGGCTCCCTCTACTGGACACTGGAGAGCTTGTAGGCGGGCTGTCCCTAGGCAGAAACAGATTAAGGGAGGGGAAAGGGGGTTCAGGAAGAACAGCCAGCCCAGTGCTTGAAGTCAGATGCTCCGCATCTGAAGAGTCCCATCCTACTCCTCAAAGCTGGCCATTGATCGGAGCAAGAAGGAATAGAGGATCTATGGTATTAAAATCACTTGAAGCTCATATAGGCTCAATTACTTCACAACGCTCCCCACTACACACACAGGGAAAGCTCCTACCCAGTTCCCACAAAGATCACCAAGGTTGCTCCTGTCTCTTTGAAACTTCTCTCTTTATCCTCACCCTGGCTGAGTGATGCTCATTTCACCCTGATGTCCCGTGGCAGATGTCTTGAAGAGGCTGGGGGCACAGGGGAACCTCTGCCCAGGGTTCTGTGCCTGAGTTAGTTCTCTGACCTTCCCTATTTCCCTCCCATCTTTATAACTTGCAGATCTCCCTCCCCCTCCTGCAGTGTCTCTACACTGTCCTCTGAAACACCATGTTCAACTCGATGACACCACCGCCAGTCAGTAGCTATGGCGAGCCCTGCTGTCTCCGTCCTCTCCCAAGTCAGGGCCCCCCCAGCACGGGGACAGAAGGTTAGTGCATATACCTATCCCCAGGCCTTGAGGACTGGCAGATATCTCTCTCCCAGCCCCAGGAATCCCTCCTCTATCTCTTATCCCATGCCAGTTTCCCATCTATAAGAAGATTTGAGGCCCCATGTCATGTGGGCTTGGAATATGGGATGAGGCCTTGCCTGGGGTTTCAAGGTGAAGGCTTGTGTGTCCCCCATTCTCACTCCCCATCCCAGCTGTCTCTCTTTTCTAGGACTGTCTGGCCTGCCCTTCTGCCACCAGGCCAACCTCATGTCTGGCCCCCACAGTTATGGGCCAGCCAGAGAGACCAACAGCTGCACGGAGGGTGAGGCCTCAGGAAACATCTCTTCCCTTTCTGCCCCTCTGGGACTTGTTCTGAGGGAGAAAGTGGGATGGCAGGGGATCTATCTTGGAAGAGGAAATGCTTGGAGATGGGAGTGAGGGGTCAGAGCATGATCAGGAGGTCACAGATGAGGCCAATAGGGCAAGGCAGAGTCAAGTGTCATTTGTTTTTTTGCTGA